TGCCTCTGAAACTCTGGAAGTGTTTGCCAGTTGGAGCCTGGGAAATAAAATGGCTGTGCCACATGCATGGATTCTGTGGAAATGGAAGCAACCCCCTGGCCCTGCAGTGTTGCTACCAGTTCTACGCTGCTAACCTCGCCCCAGGCTGCTCCTGGCAAAGCTTTGCCGGTTGCACGCAGAGTGCCACTGGGAAGCCACTCCGGTTTTGTATGGAACTAAGACTATCCCCGGCTCCAGTCCATGCTTCTGTAAGCCATCGCAGACCCAAGAGGAATCTGTACCACCACAGACAACCAAGGATGGCATTGCAAAGGATAGGCGCAGCAAAGGGTGCATGGTAGCCCTAGTTTCCTCTACTGTGTGGGGAGTGAGCGTGCCTCTTCATGTCATTATTGTAATTGGGACGCAGACACTTCCATTACCAGGAGATGAACTGCAGCTATCTCTGATCACACCAGCAGGCAAAATTATAACACAGTTCCTTGGAAACTGGGTACCACTGAATTGGATTTTAGCTGGATATAACCTGGTCCAGCCAGGTCCCCCAGACTGGGTAGTTCCATTAAATGGCACACACTGTGACAAGCTCATGCCAACAATTTGCTTTAAAGTCTATGGGCACATTGCCATTTCTGAGGAATTCTGAGTCAGGACTGTACAGGGTAGGATTGGGCCAACAACAGGAAACAGTTTTAGATTTTGATCCTCTCATCACAGACCTCACTCCCCTCCAATGTTTAAGGGCCCCAATTTCAGGACCCCCTGTATTAAAATGTGATCAACAAGAGCAATTGATTCTTCAACCTCAGACATCTTTAAAGGAAGTTCAAATCCACTTAAAGGGCATGAGTAGCTTTCACATTGCACCTATATGTGCTCCCCTAATTGAAACTAGCCATAAAGACTGGAATGAATGGGTAAAAACGGGGCAAGGAGTTACCCATGTAAATAAGGTAAAAAGGGAATTAAGTGATAGGATTGCACCAGTAGGAGCAGGAGTCTCTTTTATTGATGCTGCAAATATAGAAGTTCTTGCTAATAAACTGTTGTATACCACTAAAATATGGGGAAAATGGGAAGTCCATTAACCGCATCTTTAAAAATGTTACATGAGGAACAGCAGCTTATAAGTAAGGTATTTCCTGGATGAGAAGGACTCATAGAAAGGGATGAAAAGTTAATGAGGTCTGGTGTACAGTCCCTCCAGAATAATGTATCTTTGGCTTTAGCGTGTGAGCAAGCTCAGGCTCTCACCCAAAATGTCATCATGGGAGTGATTCGGCAAGCCATAATGGGACAGATGCCCATGGAAGCAATCAGCCTGATTCGGCCCCATCTAACGGAGGAAGAATTAGCCCTCCAGCCCTGGTGGAGTTTAGTTAACGCTTCATACAATCACCACCAGCAAAGCTTGCAATTATTCCTTGTAACTGTGGCAGGCAAGGAAATTAGAACAATCCACTCAGTAGTCCCATTAGGATTACAGATTGATGACAGCTTAGTGAAGACCAAGCATTAGAGGAGCATGATGAATGGTTTTTTTCCCCCACAACCTGGGAACAAGTCTCACTGTTCCTTCGATGTTATCCAAGAAAGGGAATCTGCTAGTGTTTATGTGTGTAAAGTATGTGTGTGCATGAGAACAAGATGTGATATTGCATTCATTAATAGATATTGTATTCAACCTATGGTGCCTTATATTAAGTGCTCTTTCTGTAATGTAACCACCATTGTTACTTGTGATCTTAGGTTTACTGTGCCTATATGGACCATATGACATTTGAATGCCTACCCTGAGCTCTACAAAGAGGTGTCCCCCATTTTACTAGGAATGGGTCTCATTGCCATTAAGAAACTATTAACTCATCCCTCTTTACAAGCGGAACTGGAAAGACTCAAACCTTTGGGAGAGAATGGCAAATGTGAGATTCAACACAACAAGCAGGAGATCTCTAAGCTAGCAGCTACAGTTAAAAATGCAGGCCATCACTCCTGGTGGAAGGTATGTTTGGGTGGAGCCCCAATGCAATGGGCCTTTTAAATGTCATGCTTCACCCCATTGTAGTAATCATTAGTTTTCAAATTATACTAGTAATTGATCTGATGCTACTAGTTTGCTGGATCCAGAGACTGATGCGACAATTGCAATGGATAGAAGATCAGAACCAGTACCATGGAGCAAGGATGTGATGGGGATACTTGCTCAACGCAAGCAGCCCATCAACGGTGGGAATTGTTACCTCTCAGCTCCGCGTTCTTGGGGAACCCTGGCACAGGATGCAGTTTGTCTGACTCACAAAAAATTCTACCTCCCCGCTCCCACCTAAACAAAACTGATTAAGATGCAGTGGGAGGTATACCTAAAGACCTCCAGATAAGGGAGCAACTGCCCTAGGTCTCATTTGCATCCGGGATACAATCAGGTGACCATATATTTACATGGGAGATGGAGAACAGAAAGCCCGAAGCAAAGACTGCAGTGAATTCTGGAATCAGAGAAGCAGGGGAGTATTGCATGATCAGGGGAATCTGTGCTCCAGATACTAATCAACCCACATTTACACACACCCAGATCAGCATTTATCAGACCAATTCTAATACTGATTTACAAAGGACCTTCCCACCCCAAACACACACACACCTCACCTACACAGAACTAAGCAGAAATAAAGTTTAATAGGCATCTCAGGCCGTACATTCCCCAGTCCCACTATGGGAG